AAGATTGAAAAAAAAAACTTTGTCCGACCTACCGACCCAATGCTGAAATTTCATGTTACCGGAAACACACTATCTTTTTTGTTTGGCCTAATGTCTGCAGATGACTCACCTTGGTTCTATACATCACCCTTGTCAATTGTAGAAAGAGATAAACTTCGGGTTGAGTTGAATAACATTATTAAATGGGTGAGAATGAACCGCCTGGTATTCAATACTGCCAAAACTAAATCTGTTGTATTGCCACTGCACTCATTTTTTTATATTGATGGGGTACAAGTAGAGCAGGTGACTCATGCCAAATTACTGGGAGTGAATTTAGATCATTAACTGTCTTGATCGGATTAGATTGATTCTATTGTTTCAAAAATGGGATGGGACACTGCAATTTCAAGGAAATGTTCTGCTTTTGTTCCATCATCAATTGTGCATGCTCTTGTTTGGATCGCCCGTTTATTTGGTTTAGCGCTACAATAAAAGATCTTAAAAGAATCCAAATTGCACAAAGAAGGACAGCCCAAACTGTTCACTCTGTGACAATGTCATCAATATGCATCAAAAAATATCATGGCTTACAGTGGAAAATTAATTACAATCTTGTCAAGAGATGTTTAGATATAATGCAATATGGAACAGTACACCACATTTTTTTTCACGAACATGTAAAATTTTTAGAATTTTGCCATGGACATTATACTCGTCAAGTGAGCATGGGTCACTTGACAATGCCAAAACCACAAACAAACAAAAAAATATGAGAACTGTTGTAGAGCTTCCTCAGCTTGGAGCATAATGGCCAGCAGCAAATTACCTTTTAAAAAGTTTTAAAAACACAAATTATTCAGTTGCATACGCTTTGGCTTGATGTATTTATTAATTTAAGCACCTGTAATTTTATCCTTTTGGGATTTTTTTTTTAATTGTAGTTTTTTACTTGATTTTTTTTTTTAAATAGTATTTCTTGACTATTTGTTAACCAATTGTTACAACACCGTTGCCATTACTGATAATGTAATGTGCTGTGGAAGAATATAACACTGCGGTGTTAAACTTTCCATATTTTCCGCATTGAATGAATCCTTTAAAACTTATAACATGGCTGGTTCTGGAGTTTATGCGTCCCTCAGTCATAGTTTCATCAAGTGGAATGCGTACGTGTCCAGAATTTTGCCCAACACATTCAAAGGGGAGGTGGAAACAAACCTAAAGCCCCTATCTCACGGAGCGGCAAACATATGCGAGTGTTGGTTCGTGTCAGGATTTGTTCAAGGTCACAAAAGTTCGCTGAATGTGACGAAATAAGAGATTTTTGTGTCATGATGCTTTTTAGATATGATCTGAATGAATAAGCCAATCGCAGGATGGGAAATGGCCTCGGTGAAAATCACTCTGATTGGCTGTTAGCCAGCAAATGCAAATCAGCGCATGAGATACAAGTCAAGTCAATGGCAAAGAAAAAGACATTTAGTCATTTAAACTCACCAAAATCTTGCTTTTGACTTGGACTTGGTCCTGCATGTGTTTCTGATGTGCGGTGTGTCGGTACTGGTTACATGTAAATTTTGTTGTATGGAAACATGACTAAGCCTGGCGTGGGGAACAATGACTTGCTAGTTCAGGAGAGTGCAAGGGGCAAAGGCTTGCACAACGGAGTGTACACACAAGATAAAGCGCGCTTGCTCACTCATAAGCACGCGTGCTTCCAACGACATGTTAGGCTGGTAAAAATACCAGGGCCTGTTGCTTCCACAATATTTAAGTTTGATACATTGTTATTTCCATGCATACGGCAAGTTGCACTCTGGTGAGTGTGAATAAATATCAAACGTTATAACATGTATTGTTTTTATTCTTTATCTAGCGATTATAACCCTCTTTTACTGTAACGACAGAACAATACAAAAATATCAAATATTTTCTTGATTAACTAATTAGTTTTGCGATGCAGTAAGTGAGTTAGTAACTCAGTAACTTTTTGGAAGAAGTAATTTGTCACGAAGCCATCACACGAAACTATCGCAGCACAATACACAAAGAAGTTTCATGGACCGCCATTTTTGTTTAAAACAGACATTTTGGGTGACTTCACCCAAATGAGCACAAATCAGCAGCAGGCATTCTGGACAGTTGGGCTACACACACACACACACACACACACACACACACACACACACACACACACACACATTTTCTGATCCGCTTATCCTCACAAGGGTCGCGGGGGGTGCTGGAGCCTATCCCAACGGTCTTCGGGCAGTAGGCGGGGGACACCCTGAACCGGTTGCCAACCACTCGCAGGGCACACATAGATGAACAACCATCCCTGCATACACTCACACCTAGAGACTATTTCGAGTGTTCCATTAACCTGCCACGCATGTTTTTGGAATGTGGGAGGAAACCGAAGTACCCGGAGAATACCCACGCCGGTACGGGGAGAACGTGCAAACTCCACATCGGAAGGCCAGAGCCAGAATCGAACCCTGGATTTCAGGTGAAATGTATGAAAAATGTCAAAGGTTCACACTCCAGTGATATCATATCATCAAAGTAGAATATTTATGTAGAAGGATGGATGCACTGGTGATTTCCTCATCTCAAGCAATTCACTGAAACAAAAGTTAACAACAAGGGCGGGTACGCCACAACTAGAAATGTCACATTTCTGCTCAACATAAATCAACTTTCATCAAAGGACAGCCTTGAGGTCCACTGGTCCCTCGTCTAGCGTAAACGCTCCCTGGCCCATACCTGGTGGTGTGGTCAGGTACCCTTGCAAGTCGTCTGGCACGCAGACCACGCTATTGTAAATGGTTTTGATGGTCTGACATGAGTCTTGGGTGCCTCTCACCTCCCTTAAACGCGTCTGGAGTTGAGTGGCATTAATCATCCGGTTTCTCATGGCATTTTTCACAATGTAGCAGTCATCAGCATGGGATGTGGCCAAAGGACGTCCAGTTCTTCATCTTTCAGTGACTCTTCCAGTCTCTCTGTATCTCTTTTGACACATCTTTATGACACTCTAAGCTCCACTTGCGTCTGAGAGCATCCAGTCTGAAGCATCACAGTGGCAAGGTCCTGTTGTTAGGTGTCGTCTTGGTCTCATGATGTCAAAATGTGAACGGCATAATGAGGACGACTGTTTAAACACCAGCTAAAACTGAAGCAGGACATTTATTGGTCGATTCAAGGATCAAACACCTGTTGTGAATTTTGCCATTAAGCTCCTCGTGAGAGAACAGTAACTTGTGCAAAGTACTGAAATATCTAACAGTTGGACATGTGCATTCGAAAGCTTAGAGAAGGTCACATGAAATTAATCTGTAAGGGTTTGAATGCATTTTAGGCTCATCCTGAAATTTCACCTGAAAGCCAAATATCCCTCACTTTTTGTCAGCAGTGTATATACTGTACATACACACACACTGCACACAACAAAACAGTTAACACCCACAACATCCGATTGTTTTGATATTTAATGAGATTGGTGGGGGCATGGGTGGAGATGTGCAGATGAATTTTGGCGGCAATTGGTTTTCTTACACTAAGCCACACTAAGGCTGTTCTCTCCAGTCAACCTATATGGGGAAGAAATAGCTTAATGGCCATAAAATGCAAAATACTGTGACGATTGTTTTGATATTTTTAAAGTTGTAGGCATAGGTAGATATGTGCATGTGAATTTTGAAAATGATTGGTGCCAGTTTTCTGACACTAAGCCATGTTATGATTTTTTTACAATAAGTGATTTTAGACTGTCCCTTTTTTCCTAAGGCCACCCAATATGTGTGAATTATGGCATCATAATTTGATGATCATTTGAGGATTCACGAAAAAAAGTGTTTGTAATTTTTCACCCCACTGGCCTCAATTTGAATTTCCAATATATAAAATCATAATAAATTAGTAGTACAACACAGCACATTGTTGAGCTTGAAGTTGAGATTTTCTGTGAATTTCCTGCAAAAACAAACAAACGATTAAATGATTCTCCAAAGATGGGGTATCTATGGAGAATCACGTAATCGTTTGTTGAACCACCACCACCAAACACAATTACGCAGTAACCTGAAACTACACTGTCGTCCCAAAGGACTAAACAGCATACCTGCTGGGGAGACACACCTTACCCGAGTACGTTTCCGACATTATGCAACATTTACCACAACTACTCAACGCCCTCTTCCAGCGTTACTACAGTTGCTGAGCAGAGTATTGTCCATTCCAACGTTTGTTATCGTTATGAAAAACAAGTGTTTCCAGTCGCTATTACTGTATAAATGGTGCGTCCAGGTTAACTCTGTCAAACACAAGGGCGCAGTAAATTGGTGGCGGAGTGATGACGATACTAAAAGCCCAGTAAGTGGCAAGTGCCTCAGAAAGTAGGATTTCCAATTTGCGGTAATTATATATATATATATATATATATATATATATACACACACACACACACACACACACACACACACACACACACACACATATATATCTTTAACTCTTTC